TTTTTTTTTTTTTTTATCTGCACTCAGTCGTTACCAACTCTGCAGTGACTGCTTTGGACGAGTCCCTGCCGTTTTCAAGGCAAGGTGTTTTCGGAAGTGGTTTGCCAGTGCCTCCTTCCTAGAGCAGAGCCCAGCTGGGAGCGCAGGAGGCGGGGTTTCCGTTGCTTCGCGCCTTTTTCGGGCGAGCGCAGTTTCGCGCTACCGGCAACTGCTCCCAACTCCTTTTGCAAGTGTTAATGTATGTTTTTGCTCTCTTTCTCAATGTGCTAATAACAGTAATTATTACATTGCTATAAAATGTTTTCTGAGATCAAACAATTATATTCTTTGATAAGAATTTATGTGTAATATATTCATTAATGTACTAAAGTAGGTGGTATTCAGATCTGAAAGGCAAAAATGCTTCATATCTGGAATGGGTATCCTCTTGGTACCTGCTGGCTGCTCCTTAAAGCTGCTGAACCTTTTGGGGGCTTACACAAATGCCACAGGGACTCAGCAAAATATGCATTTGAGATCAGGAGGTGGAGAAAGAATGCAACCATATGGAGATGGAGGCACCAGCTTTGCCGTACTCATCCCATAAAGTAACTCTGGAATCCTGCTGAGCTTTGTCTCTGCCAAACTACAGTAAACTCAAAATGGTTTGGCAGAACTTCTGGAAAGTTATATAGTTCATTTTTGGGTTTGAAACAAAGCTTATCCATTTAAGCATATCCCTAATAGTCAGCATTCAATATTCTTTAAGGACTACTTCCTTGTATTCCATGGTAACCTTTAAAACTAAGCATGTCCCATAAAAATGCATTGTAATTTCTAGATACCCTTGACCCCAGTACTATCTGTTTCACAAGTGGCATGTAAAAATGTGTGGGCAGCCTGCTGATCTAGGTAAGAAACACTGACTGTCTCTTTATCCATCATGAAATTTGAACAGAAGTAGACAGTTCCTAGTTCTAGTCACATATATGGGATCTTTTTTCTTCTTCAGCAAATAGCAACTTTAAAAAGGAGACTTCCTTCTCAGGTGAGTATGCAACATAAAATAGCAGAAGTCATTTTATGTAAAGTAAGTCCCATATGTGTGACAAAAAAGAGAACAAGCTGAGCTTACTGCTGCTATTTTTTTCCCCTTCCTTGATGTTTCACAAATTTTAATTTGTTCCAAATGCTATATACCCCTGAACAACCTAAGTAATTGTTCAATAGCCTATTCTGCTTAGAAAATCTAGAACTGTTAATTAAATAAATTAGTAAGAGCTTCTCTAGGGACATTTTTCACTATTACATTCACATGATATGCCCATACTTACTTCAATTTTTTCAGCCAGAGCTGGAGTTATTAAGATTTCTCTTTCTCCCTCATCATACATTCGGAAAATAAGATTTTCTATCACACCATCTGCGATGCAGCTAATAACTTCCTGGTGCTTAATTTGAGTAGCCTTTTCTCCCTCAAGCTGATATATCCGCAGTTCTGCAACGCAGCTACTAGGAAGCACTTTAATAGTCTTCTGTACTGGTGACACATTTTTACAACTCTAGCAATAAAAACAGAAGAAAATACCAGAAGGAAAGAAGTAAAAGAACCTGATATTTCATAGCTGTACAACAATATATTACCTAATCAAATCTAATTAATAACAGGTATTAGACTCTGAATATTTGCAATGTTTTTTATATTAACTTAAAAAACATGAATAAAATCTATGTAGTACATCAAAATATAAATAAGAAACACTGCATTTATTTTGTTTTGAAGGGTTTTTTTTGTTCTGTTTTTTTTAGTATGCTGCTCTTAATATAGTAACATTCTGGTATGAGTTACAAATGCTCTGGGTATGGCATTTCCTCCAAAATGAAAACTACATTTCTTCAAAACTTTTCTGCAGCATGATTTTTACACTTCTTTTTGCCATGGTTTGCAATGGTCATCCGGTCTAATAAGAGAAGATTTACTATCTGGCTAGCATTTATCAAAAATCTTGACTTATTCAGTGCGCTCCTGGTGCATGAAGACAGTGGTCTACAGTTGATGCTGAACAAATTCTCAGATGCTGCTGTGCTCTTCGACCTGACTATCAGCCTGAACAAGACTGAAGTACCTTACCAGCCTGTGCCAAACACTAACCGCGTAGACCTAAAAATCACTGTTGATGACACCCAGCTGACAAATGTAAACAGCTTCAAATACTTGGGAAGCATCATCTCAAGCGATGGGTCTTTGGACAGAGAAACTGGATCAGCAAGGCCAGCTAGGCACCGGGGCAGCTGTGTTCTAAAGCTCTCAATCAACACAACCTCCGTATCGCCACAAAGCTGAAAGTCTACAGAACTGTGTTTATCCCTTCTCTCTTATATGGATGTGAGTCCTGAACTCTGTACCAAAGGCACATCAAACAGCTGGAGAATTTCACATATGTGCTCTCCGCTCCATTCTTGACATTCATTGACAAGACTGTGTCTCCAACCTGGAAGTCTTGGATCACATGGAACCCACCAGCATTGAGTCCCTGATTATCAGAGGCCAGATGTGGTGGGTGGGACATGTCATTAGAATGGATGACCACCTTATGACTCGCCAGTTGCTGTATAGAGTACTGGAGTCTGGAAAGAGACCTCAAGGTTGACCACGCAAGCGCTACAAAGACACTGTGAAAGAAACCCTACACCACTGTGACATCCAGCCAAGGGAACTAGAAGATGTAGATGCTGACAGAACCTGCTGGCGAGCCCCGTGCTTTGAAGACAGGCGCTGCCAAAAACTGATAGAAAACCATGAACGATGTCATAGAATAACACTCACAGTTACTACAACAATGGAATTCCAGTGCCCCATTGTGCTAGACTCTGCACTTCCAGATTGGGACTGCAGAGCCACCTCCATGTCCACAGATGAACTGTACAACTGCGTGTCTTCTTCAAACCCAATGGACTACCATATTCAATTTTATTGGTAAACTGAAATAATGTTCATGTGCCACTTGCTAGCTGTTACTTTCTATTATAAAAGCAGTGGCTGACATGAAGTTTGTAGATATATGCTTGTATGAAATAAACAGACTTCAAGATCTGAGGAATCTTCTTTCAGCTACTGCAGATATTAACATTACTTGCTCTTCAATACAGGTAAGGCATTAGGAGTAGTCTATGGAATTACATAAAATTGCTCCTCATGATTTTCATGTCTCAATCTCACTTATAACCTTAAAAGAAATAAAAGTTATATCAACACCAGAGCTAATGGTGCATAAGACTGAGTATATTTTACATTTTGTCAGCTTTTTAAAAAATATCTCCACTTGACCAAAAGCACTGATTGCCTCCTAGTAGATAGAGAGAAGAGTATGCAAGAGTTCTAGAGCTCTGGATGATAATAAGGAAGTAGAATATCTATTTCACTTACTGGTATTTCAATCTTTGCTATAACTGTTTGATCATTCTTTATATTTGGAATGTGCAGAACTGGTCCAGTTAACAGATTTGTGCCATCATTGCTGCAATCTGCAACATATACAGGAAGGCCTGGAACTCCTAAAAACTAATATAACCAAGAATAATTTCAATTAAAGTCATGGCTCATTCAAGTCAAGGTCACAAGATGGCATAAATGTCTTAGAACAAAATTCTAAGATAGACTACAAATATGATGAAATAACAATGGCTTCTTCCTATAAAAAAGATGACATTCCTAGAAGGCTATTTCCATGGATTCCTGATAAGAAAGCCAATTCAGTACATTAATTTATCCAAGTCTGCATAAATATGTAATTTTTAATTTTCTAATATGTATGTAAAATATTTTACTTAATGCTATGTAATACAGCGCCACATTACACAAAGTTAACTTGTACTATTATCTGGAGAAGAATAACTTATAAAATTAATTTAAAGTTATTTAGTAAATAATATTTTAAAAGATTTTAAAACACATAATACAAATTATATAACACCTTGTTAAATATTTTGATAGTTACCAGTTTATCCTTCAAATTACATTAAAAGTTTCCCTCAAGTTCAAGTTCAGCATGTTATCTATATAATTTTCAAACAGATCTCATCAAGTTTCCTAACAGCTTATGCCATTATAAATTACAATAAATTCTATCTCTGCTGCTAATCTCATTTAAAGGATCCTCTAAAACTGAAACAATACAACTTTATGTAAAGAGAAATCTAAATGTTGGATGAGGTACAAATGCACAGATTAAATTGTAATCTAGAGACTATTTCCAAATTGAATTGAAGTTTACTTATTGGATATACAAAAGAAATCTGCTAATGTTCTGAAAGATTTTTGGTTTGAAACACAGATGAACAGAAAACTAGCTCTGGAACTCTTTTTGAAGGGATTAAAATATATTTTTAAAAACTCAGGGAAGGAATACAAGATTGGCTTATTTGACGAGAGCTAAAGGAGAAAAATAGTTACATCTGGTTGCCCTTACTGGACTTCTGCTGACAAAGAATGACTGACAAAGCATTTGGATTTTGTTTTTTGTTTTTATTCAATACATGAGATATGGGGTGAAGACAGATTATGTTGTATTTAGATATAGTGATAAATTATTAAGATTGTCTTTACTTGCTGGGATGAGGGGGGAAGTTACTTTTTTCTTTTTTTCTTCTATTTTTCTGGGGGGGGGGTTCCCTTTTCAGTGTCAATGAATATTTGTGAGACATTAAAGAATTGAGCACAGTCAACATGTCAATATGAGCAGATACTGAAAGAGAATTGGTATTTAGTCAAAAAAATTAACTTAATATGCTCACAATCACTTTAGGATTGGGATATCTTTACAGGTGTCCTGGACTTATGACCATTCATTCAGCAACTGTTAGAAGTTATAGCGGTACTGAACTAAGGGACTTATGATCGGTCCCTGAAGTTATGGCTGTTGCAGCGCGCCAGCAGTCACATGATCAAAATTCAGGGACTTGGCAGCCCGCCCACACTTCAACTCCCACATCCACCTATCTCCCCCCATGTATGCCCTTTTGGTCCCCTGTGGCCCCTGCTGCCCTAGCTGACCTTTGCCATCTACTTGCTCTCGCTGCTGACCATGCATGCCCAGCCTGGCCCTTCGTGACACAGCTGCTGGCCGTACGAGGCTTTCTTCCCAAGGTCATGCACAGTGGTTTCCTCGCGAGACATGGAGTAGTTGGCCTCACGTGACCAGCAGCTGCCTCGCAAAGGGCCAGTGAGGACATACCTCATCAGCAGAGGGAGCAAGGAGACAGCAAAGATCAGCTGGGGTGGCAGAGCACAGGGCAGCAGGGGCCTCGGAGTGCAGGGTGGCAAGCGTGACTGTGGCTGGGACTAGGCTGGGTGGCTGGGGCTTTCCAGGGAGTGACGGCTTTGCGCTGCACTGCTGGGCCAAACTGAGGCTTCCCAGGGTGTGGTGCAAAGGGGCTTCCTGGCACGCTGCAGTTCTGGGCCAGCAGCACGGCGCATAGGGACTTCCTTTTTGCGAAGCCCAGCTGTGCAGCACAAAGGAGCTTCCTGGTGTGCTGTTGTTCTGAAGCTGCAAAAAGCCCCAGAACTGTGGCACGCCAGGAAGCTCCTTTGCACTGCGCGAAGCCCAGCCCAGCAGCATGACACAAAGGGGCTTCTTGGCATGAAGGGCCAGGTCAGCCACACCTCTTTAGCAGCAGGAGCAAGAAGACAGTGAAGGTCAGCTGGGGCTGTGGAGCGCAGAGCAGCAGGGGTCTTGGAATGCAGGTTGGTGAGGGCAACTATGGCTGGGACTGCAGGGGCAGCTGAGGCTTCCAGGGGCGGCTGTGGCTTCATGCTGCACTGCGACTCAGGGCCTTCTTGAAGCCCCAGAGCAGTGGTATACCAAGAAGCCCCTGAGCTGCAGTGTGGCAAGCAGCTCCAGAGCCACGTAGTTCTGGGGCTGCTTGCTGCCCACAAGGCAGGGTGTAGGGTTGCCAAAAGGGCAGAGACGGGGGGATAGGTGGGTGGGAGGAGTTAGAGGCAGTCCATTACCTAACTGAGGCTTGGGGCTGGGAGGGACCCAGCCCGGAATGGCTTGGATTGGGGTGGGTCCTCGGCTAACGACCAGTAGAATTCACTTAATGGTGGCAAAGGGGGGTGCTAGGATTGCCTAAGCAATCGCTAAGCGATGCAGTCATGTGACATTACGCTTTACGACTACATTGCTTAGTAATGGAAATTCTGGTCCCAATTTTGGTCATAAGTCAAGGACTACCTGTAATTTCTTTATTGCTGCTTAATTAACTATTTCTGTTATGTTTTAAATTACATATTATATATATATATTTCTCAGAATTCCAGAATGGTTGCAATATGTACCTCAATATTTATAGTAAAAATCCATGAGCGTGATAATCAGTTATGGCTTAATCACCAATAAAACTAATGGTACCATTGTTGCAGAAGTTCATTTTAACTCCCCTCTGTGTTACAGTGTTGTTTGTATTTTGTTTTTGGATTGCTTTCTGTTTTTATGCTCCTTTTTCCAGCAGGTTCAAAACCAGTAACTTAAGGAGGCAAAAAGAAACTTAGTAAATTTTAACTATGTTTTGACTGGGCTAGAGGGAGCTGAGGTAAAAACTGCCTACATAAATGAAGTTAAAATCAGTTATAATGTGTTATTAGAGGAGGAAAAAAAAGTACTATTCAGAAAAAGCCAAAACACAGATTTTTACATGAGACATGCTCCAGGAAAAAAAAAAAAAAGCTGAAAGCAAAAGGTTTGGAGGCTACAGTATATCACCAATTGATCAGGATGAACTGAAAACAAATTTTATTCTTTTATTTGTTAACATATGGACTGCACATTTCCATGTTATTCCCATATCCTACTTGCTTTTATGGTAATTGATTTTTCACTAGGAATGTCATAAAAAAGTCTTAATTTGCTATTTAAGCCTAATTTGATGTCTATACTTTCATCCTTCAGCTAACTGACTTACCATACAATCCAATAAAGGGAACTGAGAGAATACAAATTAAATAAGTTTAAAAGCTTATTTTAATAAAGAACTACATTTAGTAGAAACAATAAAAGTAACAGGATGTGTTAAGATACTTGGTTTCTTCGCCTTCTAATCATCTCACAAGTAGGCTACAATTAGTGCCACCACAGTTATGTTTCTTATCAGAGAAACAGATATACTGTGGGTTATTAACCCAAAACTCTAGCCAAAATGTCAAAATCTATGTTCTAGGGCTGCAATCACAAAATATTTCTATACTTTTATTTTCAGTAATATAAGCAATTATATTTGAATGTCATTGCCTACCTTGCAATAAACAATTAGTTTTGGTTGTGCTGTTATGTTGCCTACTTCATCCAATACTTCAACATGAAAAGCGAAAGATGTTCCATTCTCAATTTGCAAGATATCAGAATCTGTTTTCACATTTAGCTGCCAAGGAAGGCCTGTTGGAAGTTACAAACTGAAATTTAATTTGTTGCTACATGCGTTGAAATGTCAAAAAACAAGCTAACAAGGAAACTTTGAAAATGTCAGTATTTTAAATTAGATCCATACCATAATCATTTGGTTGCATGATCAGTGCCTTTAAGAATTAGCTACGGATATGCAATCCAATGCAGCCAACCCTCTATTTTTACTTCTCCATTAATGGTTTTTACCTATGATTACCTAAGGTTAAAAATACATTTTACATTTTCCTTTTTATACTTTTTAGTAAAGTTAATGTTTAAATTATGTCTTGTGCTATTCTAATTTGCCAAAGCAGGGTGGGGGGATGACTGTTTTCTCTTGCCACGTGCCCCAAAGCTACCGTGGCCATGACGAGACACTACAGAATTTGTTATTTTTAATAACCTTTTTCCCTTCATACTGACAAGTAAGACTATAGGCTGTGGGTTTCTTGTTCTACTTTACACCAGAGTTAAGGAGAAAGACATCAGTAAACACATCCTCCAAGTAGTTAGATGGTGGCACCAATAATTACCAAGCAGCTATACCAAGGCAGGAAGGTGAGGCCAGGGTCTATAAAAACCAGAGGTCTTCTGGGATAGGAGAGATGACACCGCCCACCTTTCAACCTACAGGTTCCGCCCTGCTTCTAAACCTGGAAATTGCAGAAATGCATTACTACATTCTGCTGCCTTTTCATGCTATTGCGCAGAATGGGACTATCAAGAACATTCCACACACAGTGCTTTGGAGGAGGCTGCAAGAAAATTCCAGGACTGTAAACTAAGCTGGAAAGTTAACCGCACCCTCCCAACGAAAAAGGAGGGCAGCAGTGGCAAAGCACTTACGTTTTGGACATGTCCATGCAGTCACCAGGAGTCAGCTTGACTGAAGGGACATTTTTAAAAAACGTTTGCTTACAGCCAACAGTGATGAACTAAAAAGAGAATGCTGCTTTCGCACATAGTTCACTTCAAATGGTCATAGGAAATAACTGCAAGATTTTAGGGTCCATTTGAAGATAAAAAGATTCCTCTTTTGATGAATGTTACCTATTCCTTTTTAAAAAATGCTTTAAGCATTTTAAATAGCATTCAAACCTTCTGGAGGCTCTGTTAAGAGTTCAATAGGGTTCAACATCTTCTAGTCTTCTCTCTCACACAGTAATCCTGAGCAGGGCTGCCAGTGCAAAGATAAGGCTTCTCCCTCCCCAGGTATTCCATTTGCAGGTCACTGAATTCTCAGTGCAGGAACCCAGCAATTTTTGGTGTGAATGCTTGGAGATAAGAAGGATGGCTAATCCATTACTATCCCAATTGACGGCCCACTAACAAATGATCCATATATCCTATAAAGGACCTCCCCATCTGTCTCAAATTGGTGAATACAGGATTGGCAATGGTATCTGCAAATGTTATCAAATTCTGTCAATATTCAAAGTCAAAGACAATTTTTCTAAAAAGTAAAAAAGAATGAGAAGACCTAGGTCCAAAATCCTTTTGTGCATGTGTATATGCCTTCTAGTCAGAGTTGACTCCTGCCTGGACAACTCCCTGAGGTTTTCTTGGCAAGATTTTGGAAGTGGTTTGCCATTGCCTCCTTCCTTGGGCTATAAGAGAGTGACTGGCCCAAGGTCACTTAGCTGGCTTTGTGCCTAAGGCAAGATTAGAACTCACAGTCTCTCGGTTTCTGCCTGATGCCTTAACCACGACGCCAAAGTGGCTCTCCTCTAAAATCCTTATACTTATTTTTTTTCTGAAATTTGGCATTTTCTTCCCATCAAAATTCTCCATTGTTCATATTCATCCCATTCTGCTGCAATTCAGAAGTATAGCTTTTGTGAATCAGCCAGGAAAACAAAATCATGTAAGTCGAAAACCCACTGGATGGGATTGAACCGTTAATGCAAAAATTGAAAGACTTTGGGTCGCTAGCAGAGTTCAAAGTAAACATACAAAAAACAACGGTTTTAATATGGGTCATTACCAACAAAAGAAATTGAATGAATTAACTGGATTTACAGTAGAGAAAAAATTAAAATACCTGGGAGTATATTTGAC